AGTAAGCTGCCGACGCAAGTAAACCCTGCTCGGCCTGTGTCGCCGCCAGATCGCATTTTATCATAGGCATTACCATGCTGATACCCATCGTTTCGGCCATCACTGCCATAAAGCAAATGCCACAAATTAGCGTCAATACATAATGGAAGCGGCCGACACCTGTCAGCGTGAGCGCATCCTCGAAGGTGTGTGAGGCCACTTGTGATTCGTCATGCTTTTCTTTGCCTGCAATGCACATAAGGGTATTTGTCAATCCGAATGTCTTGTTTACAGTTTAATTTATGCTAAAATTTTGCTTATGAAAACTAAAAGGCTTCGAGTTAAAAACTGTTGTCAGCTTTTTCCCGTGGACATTAGTACGTGAACTTTGTTGTGATAATGAATAACGGGTCTTCAAACGGAACCGCAAACGATCAGGATGATTCGGAAGAGAATTCATCAGCTTCGAGTTTCTACGATACGAAAATATTTCGTTGGTTTTCTTTGTTTCTATATCTCGGCGGTATAAGTGGCCTAGGCATGATTTTATCGCTATACTATTTACTTTTCTTCGACTCAACTATGCCTGACATACATCTGAAGTTTCCGATATCTATAGACGGCAAACCAGTGCAAAAAGTTCAGTCTTATACATAAAAGACCTCAAGAAGGTAAGATGATTAAAAAAAGTTTTAGTGTGATATCTGAGTTTAACGTGAGTACATTTCGATGCGAAGTTTGCGATATGTCCGCTTTTGGCGGTTCAGCGGTCAAGCAGCTATTAACGGAGGGAAGAAGCCAAAAGAGATTTGGTTTAAAGTTTAGGCTGCGTGACTGTCAGTAAGTTAGACTAAAAACTATGGCGAGATACATATATTCATAACTGAAAAGTTCGAGAAATATCTGAGCCACATAACTTCTTTATCCGATTCGACTCTTTTTAATACCTATTCAAAAAGTATCATTAGGGGATTCAGTTATAGCACTACTTTGCTTTCGACCTTTATGTTTTGTTTTTTCGGAGACATCTAGAAGAGAACTCCTCTAAAAATTTTTCCAAAGCTAAAGGCTGTAGTTATTTTTTAGCTAATCTTCTAATAAAAAATGTCTGAGTAGTTAAATTTGCGTACTCTCTCAAAGAAAACCTTGTAACAATGATAAAATTTGTATACTCTCGGAATATGTTCCAAAGAATATAATAGTTCCATAGTTATTCTGTAACATCATAAATCGACCGATATACTTATGTTGTCTTTTATATTTCGGGATTAAGAACTTACCGTAAAATGTTAGATTTTTAATGATGTACATTCTCAGAACACATTGACATACGAGTACTATTTGTGTGGTTTACAGTAACTTAGAATATTCATTTCGCCTAAAAAAAAAATTAAGTTAAATCGCCAGCATTTTCGGGCGATTATTTTTAAAACTTTAGTCGTGGATTAACTCAGCAACAGTGCATCGTTGCACTTAATCAAATTCTTGCGAATGCAGCTCCATCAAGGACTAGTGTTTATCGATCATATGATGAATTCAATCGAGGTTGTATATCACTCCGAGATGTATTTCTTGAAGATCGTCAAAAATCAGTGAGATTGAGGACAACTATGGGCATAAGTGGAACCAGCGTATATTCAATACGGTATGAACATTTGACTGAAAAAGAATTAGTACATATCGGATGGTACACAATTTGTCAATCGCTGAAAAAATGCTCTTATAGGTAATGAATCGACGATTTACGCGCTCTTCACTCTTCACCTCGCCAATGCGATCAATTCCATTTTTTGACTCTCAAAACATCGATTCAATAAGTCATCCACCGTATAGTTCTGACTTGGTACCGAATGACATTTTTTTCGTACGAAAATATGTGAGCTCAGTGTTTTTCGACACCTGAAAAGGCAGTTGAGGCGTTCGGAATCCATGTTTTAGAAGTGCCTTAATCAGAGTGGCAAAAGTGCTTTGGCAAACGTATGCAAAAGTGTATATCGTTATATTTGCTATTTGATATTTGCTAAATCGATCAGATAATTCTCTCTACTAGCCCCGGTGTATTCAATTTGAATATCTTGTCAAGCTTGGAGCGGCATAAAACATGCCTGAAGTAAATTTCGAGGAATGTTGCCAAGTTGACAGTCCTTGTCCGAATAATAATCCAGGTCCGTTCCGGCTACTTCGACCCGACTGTCGTGGGAACGAATGTAAGGATCTCTCTCCTGTCAGTTGACTTTATACCGCATTGGTCAACAAACGGTATACACACAGTGTATGCAACTTCATTCATTTTTAATGTCTTATCAAACGTCTTACTGCTGTAAAGGTTTCCTTCCCACTGATTCCATCCGTTAACATAAAAATTATACGTAAATTCAAAATAAATTTACTTACAGCTTATTAAACCGATACTTTCCATTTGGAACCATTTAGAACCACTTACGAAGAAACAAGAGCCCCGCTACATCAAGCCAAAGTCGTATAACTTCACTTTTTGGACAGAAAATATTAGACACACCGTAAATTTTATTTTTTTAATATATATACTCGTAGCGCCGCTTCTAAGTTGACACTAATTTGCAAAAACGAATAATACGATTCAGAAATCACATTAGTTGCTAATAAAAACATAGGCGGCATTAAATTATATAATGTTGGCCGCCAATATTTTTCGCCATAAAGTAGAGAAACCCTCTAAGTATGATTTTGCACTTATGTTTTCTTATGAATCTTCTGACTGTGGTAATAAAATGAAAATTAATCGACAGCTGTGCGCAAGCTAAATATATAATATGGGCGAATTTGTACGAATTTCTGTTATTTGCTTTGCAGAGCCAAAGGAATACGGTACATGTTGTACCATGTTGATGACATATGTTTAAAAGAGACCTGTAGGAAAATTTTAACTAGTAGCGTACATAAACTGACCAGTTCGTAACCAGTTATTTTTTAAGTTAAAAAAGTCTAATTGGATAGGAACGAATGTTAAGAGTGAATAATCTATTATCGACTTCTTATCTAAATTAATAATTTTGGTATCTCTAACTTCTTTGAAGTTATGTAATATTATAATTTTTCAAAAGTTTTGAGTAGAATACTAAGCCAGTTGACAGGGATTTTATTGTTTAGTCCTAGTATGCTTACCAGTGTTCTCACTCATTAATGTTGATATATAGTATTATGAATGTGGCATGCGATCACGATTAACAAAATGATCGATGATATTTTTATTATTGATTCAAAATACTTTTAGCCAATGAAAACATTACACCATCTGATCAAATTTGACACGGACTACAACTGCGCGGGCGAACCGTATTAATAGATTGGAATAATATTTTCAAATTTAATATGAAGTTTCATGCGACTCGTTCATCTAATATCTCTGTTAATGACATAAATATCGAAAAGTTCAAGAAACGGTGCGTTCTGAGAGCATCAGAGAGATAGCATCTCCTATGGATCAGCCCAACAAATGTTGGTTAATTTTTTAGTATGGAGCATGTCTCTGCTAGACTCATACTAAAAGATCTGTACGCTTTACAAAAATGAAGGCGAGTCGCAAAAAAGTTGCTGAGCACTTTATCAAAATCATCATATATCAAAAATTTCATTGCTGCTGACGAATCATGGGTTTATGAATATGGCTTAGAAACTGTTCGAAAATATAATGAATGGTGATTCAAAAAATAGACGCGACAAAATCTAAGTTCGCTGAAGCCCTTGAGTTACATGCCATCCGAGTCTTGTAGGCGCACTCAAAAACAGACAGGACATTTGTCCGGGTCATATTTGATCGGCCGGTACAGCTCTCTCGGGAAGCCTCGTCATTACTATCAGGATAATTATATTACTTATATTTCGACTATCACTCAAACATTCCTAAAGCTTTTCATATACAATATTATTTAAAAAGAAAATTATAGTTTTAGTCAATCCGAAAAGCAAAAAAGAACTTAACCTCAAATGACCAAGAGACATGTTATAATGTTCGGTTGATGGGGGACTGAGCAAAATGGGAGTCATGCTGCCTATTTGAGTTCTTATGGACCGTCGAGGTGCGAACTTGGTGCAGATTTCACAGCGACAGAGACTAAGGTCGCATTAATGCGTTGGTAGCATGGGGCCTCGTAACTCGTTGTCCACTCCCTGAATGTCTTAAGACCTAACAGGTCTTAAGATGGCTTCATCTATCATCCCTAACCGAGGTGGAGTTTGGATGGAGCCTTTTGGCGCAGACGTAGCAGAAAAATTCCTCTTGGTCCGGGTTGGACCCAGCACGAATCCGGAGGATTCTAAGCAACTCTGCTGCAAGGCATTGCTCCCGTGATGACAATCGTAATCTAAAACTTATCGATCTAAACGAGGTTAGATCTCCGAAAATCCGGCTGTTGTAGGAATTGCGTGCAACGAGTCCCCGCATGACACTAACCACCTCTTTGCATGTCCTGCTAACCCTGCACATCTGACACCCCTCTTCCAACCTCGTCGCAACAGCTCGCTTCACGGGCCTTCATTGTGTAAAGAGCATGTCTTTGCAGAAACTCAATGAAAGTTATTATTATTTACCGCAAAATTTCCCTACGGGCCATCTAAGTACATACATATGTATGTGAGAGCGGCTGCAACTAATTAGCGCCTCGAAACAAGCGAAGTGTACAAAAGAATAAGAAACGAAATGCATAAGTTAAATATGCGAAACCGTTGTAACAAACATACACATACATACCGAAGTGACATAACAACACACTTGCGTTTACATACGCACATACATTCATAAGAGCAAGTGTAGATAGGAAAATGCCAACTTGAAGAGACCAAAATCGCGCCAATACTTACGCCTACTAAGTAATGGCAATAAGCAATTAGTAGACCAAACCGCAAAAATACATATATACAGACACACATACATACCACCACGTACGCCCATATTTACTCCACAACTAGCCAAAGTGGCAGACATTGAGACGAAAGAAAAGCCTCGTGCAACAAATTTTCTTGCGAGTCATTTTAGTTACACTTGAGACTTAGAATTGCCGTCGACGCGTGTGGTTAGAAGACGGTCATACCAAAACCCAGCCAAAACGCAAAACAAACACAACATACGAAGTCTTAACGCATAGGAAAGTTTTATAGAAAGTCTTTTGCGCTTTTTGTCCTCTGCTGCTGCTGCTTCTCTTACTTACTGTGCTTACTTTCTCTAATTCGATTGTAATTAATTACGACGACGATGTCACTCGCACCTGCTGGTGCTGCCGCTGCCGCTGCCGCAGCCGCCGCTGCCAACGGCGCTAATAAAGATGAAGAAATCAGTGTGCCGAAATCTGACAGTTTCTTCGAAACGAAAACCTTCCGACTAATCTCCTTGTTTATATACATGGCGGGCATAAGTGGCTTGGGCATGACATTAGCCATGTACTATTTATTTATTTGGGATTCGCGTATGCCACCGCTGCCGGAGTACAAACATGCGCATCATGTGGGCTAAGGAGTGCTCGTAGTTGTGTGGGGAGTGTATGATTGATACGAATTACGAATGGAGAGTTTCTAATGTTTTAAGTGTCATATCCCAGTAGACGACCTTGGTGAGTATGGCAACACTGCTCTTTTGTTTATTTGTATATGTAAGGAAATGATATTAGTATATTTTTATAGTATGTGCACAAGAAATTTGCCATGCTGAAATACTAGGTGTCCTCTAACAGAAAATGTTGTGCTGTTTCCATTTAAAATGTAATTCCAGGGAAATTTTAAAAGTTCAGTGTAATGAAATTAAAAGTGAAAAGTGAAATTTTGAACAAGTTCAATATTTTAATTTTTAATTTATTTATTTATAAACCATGCATTCTGAACGTTTTGCATCAGATTTCAAAACTTTAAAGCGGTTTCTCCGATCCTTTTGAAATTTTGTTGGCGCTTTCTGCACATAATTTATGAGGTAACATCGAAGCGTTATGCTCAAATTTTTTAATGTTTTTTATATTTTTTTTTTTTTAGAATAACAAACTAGCTGATTTCTTCCCAAAAAAAAATTGCGTCTTTTCCATTAAAGTGTTTTAAAAAAGTGTTTATGAAACATTATAAAATAATATATTTTTTGGAATTTTCAAAAGAAATATTCAAAACTCGGCCATTACGACGTCATTTCCGACGGTCCCTCAGAAAAAAGGTGCCTTCGCGTTGAAACTGAACTTCTGACAGGATCATCAAAAGTTAGGTTAGGTTAGTCTGGTGAAACGATCATCCACGCACAGACCAGATTTTGTCTTTCGCGAAACCATCCTTTAGGTTGCCTGCGCTTGACTCGAGTTTTCACAGACTCTGTGACCTCACTATCCATACCTCGTTTCAGTGTATCATTCTGTGGAAACCCCAGATGTTTACGTCGTAGTTTTGCCAGTGCGGACAAGTGCAGAAGAAATGCTCCATTGTTTCCCTGGTTTTTTGCTATAGAAATTTCCTGCAGTCTTCTCGATCTGTCAGCCCCATTTTCCGGGCGTGTGTCACTACCAGACAGTGACCAGTTAGTATTCTGATTATATTCCTATAGTACACTTATTTTCTATCTTACTTTCAAGGCTCTATCCCCATCTACTACTCGGATCAACTTGACCATTTAGAACAATATTCTTGAGACGTTATATAGTTAAATATGACTTTAAATTTTAATTTTTTTAAGCCCTGGAACCCATATAACCCTTAAGTTTTCAACTGATACCTTATTTTTTTAATTGAGGATCTACAATTTCAATATTACGGATGTGTTATATGGCAAAGATTTTCTTGACGAGATTTCTTTCTTCTAATACATAAAAATTAAGATACTAATCGAAAAAAAAAATCCCTAACTGGCATAATTTTGAAATATACTTTCATGATAATGTTGAGATTTTTTTTTGGAAATCCCCCAAAACCTCAACAAATATATTAAAAAGCTTCACGCGTTTTGTGAAATCAGATAAGAAATACCCAAGAAATTCTCAAATATTCAAAATATCAAAAACACAAGTTATTTGAGGGATCGTTTATGTGTCACCCTTATTTAGCCCTTATTTTCGAAAGTTTTTCATAGAAAAAATAGGAAGTTTTCAAAAAAAAAAGCTACCATATCGCGACAGAGAATGATGTTAAAAATATTCTCTCCAAGTTGAAAGAGATATCTTCAAAACTCTTACTTTAAGAGTGGAAACTGTTTTGACAAACACTATTCTGAAGAAATGCGTTTAAAGATTTTCTCGACCTGTTCGCTACTCTGTTCCCTTTCGACAACAAACGCTGTAGCGACCGTAATAATTTGAGTTTCGATTTAAAAATTTGAGAGAATGTTTAATACAGTGTCTACTATCCGATAGTGCAACAAAAAATCGATTTTCGAAAATTTTATACTGAGACGATCCTTTAAGTAAACTTCAACCAAAAAATCTACAAAGTGCATACTTATAAGTAAACATTGCCTTTCTTCTTTTTTTCGTTAATTACGTAATTTTTGTCTGAGAAGGTTTTCAATTGTCGGACGGTTTTATTTATTTTTTTTTTTTTCAAAAACGCGACGAAAATTTCCTATTTCAAAGCAATTATCTTTGTAGCACATTAAATACTACTCAACTATTTTGCTCACGAAAACAAAGAAAGGCGGTTATATTGTTACTAAGCCTAAACATGTGACTTGGTCCTTACTGAAAATTTTCGTTCGAAGTTCCTCAAGAATGTTTTTGAAAAAAAAAAAAACTCTTCTAATTCTTACTTGGCTAACTACCTCCTCTCCACCTAATTGCAACAGTCTTTTATAGAACAAAATTTTAAAACTGGGATAATTTTAGGCTTCTTGAAAATTAAATTCTTAAAGAAGATAATTTTAATATCATTATTTTATTAGTGTTACTCATACGCCCTGTAGAGTCATTAATTTAATCGTCATTACAAGCCACAATTCAGTTCAAAGGTAGCAGTTTGAATTAAGGAATCAGTCCAAAAGTTCAAAAAGTGAATTCAACTACAACTTGTGTTTATTCTTCTAATTCTTGTCGTAGATACTGCTTACGTGGTTATTGCCGAGTTTACAACAGCGCGCCAGTCGTTTTCCGTTTCGCTGTTGGGCGCCAATTAAAGACACCAAGTGTAGCCAAGTTCTCTCCACCTGGTGTGGAGTCAATGTCTACCTATTAATTTGCTTCCCCCAGCGGCTACAGCGACGAATAATCTCAGAGCTGGAGTGTTTTCATCCATTCGAGCGCCATGATCCTCGATTGCGGTATTCGCCGTGGCCAAAGCGCAAAGGACCATAAATCTTCCGCAGAACCTTTCTCTCGAAAACTCGTTACATCGACTCATTAGATTTTGTCATAGTTCATGCCTCTGCACCATATAGCAGGAGGGGAATGATGAGTAACTTGTAAAATTTGGTCTTTGTTCATCGAGAGAGGAGTTTACTTCCCAATCAAATACTCAGTCCGAAGTAGCACCTGTTGCCAAGAGTTATTCTGCTTTGAATTTCGAGGCCAACGATGTTGTTGGTATTGATGCTGGTTGCAAGGTAGACGAAATTGTTTCCACCTTCGAAGTTATCACTGTCAACAGTTGTGAATGTTTCTATGATGCCAGGAGATATTTCGTCTTGCTCTCGGTCACTACCGGACCCATTTGCTTCGTTTCTTTGTCAAGCCTGGAGAAAGCGGTGCGGTTGTAATGGAAATGTTTCCGACGTCATAAGCGTACGCCAGCATTTGTACACCCTTGTAGAAGATTGCAGCTTCTCTGTTAAGCTCTGCAGCTCGAATTATTTTCAGTAGGAGTAGATAGAAGAAATCGCACGACAGCGACTCGCCTTGCGAGAAATCGTGTAGCGATCTTCGCTTGCACCCTGTATTCGTTGTGTTCTTTATAGCACTCAGAAATATTTTTTATTCTGATTCATACTCACTCTCCGCATTTAAAAGTAACTCTGACATTTTTTTTTTTTTTTTTGTTTTTTAAATTTGTCGCACAAAACTCACTTCACACTCACTGACCACACGATACACCCTCTCTACTATGACTGCCTGTCATCGTCAGCATGGCGCTCACTTACTCGCGCAGTCCCTACTCTTGGGCGACGGATTAATTAACGCCATTAAAGCGAAATTCAGCGCCATTAAAAAGACAAAAACAAAACCAAAAAGTTGACAAAGCAATACACACGGTTTAATCCTATTTCTCGTTTCACTAAATCCCAAGCACTCAGAGCCCTCCTACTACGTACTCGCATATGTAGCGATATACCGCGACTCAGCCTGCTGGTGTTGGCCTGGTATCTGGTGACTCTGTGGTAATTTCTCAGTATTTCCTGTCATGTGGCTCTATATTGCCATTAACTTTTTGACAGTTCTACCACAAACGTGTGCCGCCGCATTTTCACCTATTCGCGCTCATCAATTAATTTACAGCTATGTGACATACATATACATTTATAAACGTGATTTTGATTTGATTTAAATTGCGAATCACATTTAAATTGCGCCGATCAGGGCAACCACAGCGCAGATTGCTCGTTGACGTCGCGCGAAAAATGGCGGAAAATCTAGCGAAAATTGTCAATATAATTGAATCGAGTGTAAATAATAATAACGACGATGACGTTGAGGACACAGCGGCCGCGGAGTCCGACGCAGAACCGGCTGCAATTAGCACACCGTCAGAATCAAAAGGCACACGTCCAACCACTGTCAGGATATCCACCGGTCATTTGCCGTCGTATCGTTTGCACGATGTTGACGAGATATTGGCGCATAGACCGACTTTTTCGGAGCGTTGCATACGCTATGTAATGGTGTTGATTTACTTATGTGGTCTGTGCAGTTTGGGTTTTGTTCTATCCATTTATCATTTCTTCTTTTGGGACTCACGTATGCCACCGTTGCATAAGAGTATGATAATGAAGAAACCACCAGGATATGGCTAAATTAATAATCGTCGAAAATAAAGTGTTAGCAAGTCATCGGTGTGTGAGTGTGTGTGATTAACAAAACCAATATATTCAATGTAGTTTATTAGAAATATATTCTAAAAACTCTAACTGCTTCAACATGTGAAAAATATTTAACAGTTTATCCAGTGTAAGCATTGACCATAACCGTTGGATTTGAAAATATGGTGAGTCAGAAAGATAGCATGTAGTGAATAGAAAAACGAAAATTTAGCACTTCCAAAATGTATATCCCTATAGTTATTGAAGTCTGTACAAATATGTTGACACATCTGTTTATAACTATCGGGGCGTCCACTTTTATGTCAGTATACAAGGTGCGTTCCAAAGTAAACCGGACTTTTTGAATCTAGCGCCCCCTGATGGCGCCATCTGTATATCGATTGATGCATTAGAATCTGCTATCTTTATCGATGGTCCAGTGAGAACTTCATGACATTTCATGAATTGGAAGTGAAGTTATTGCGTTTTAAGTGTCAGTATGTTTGTGCGTTATCGATGCGAAAATGAGCTTCGAACAAAGAGCCAACATTAAATTTTGTTTTAAAATTGGTAAAACTTTTATCGAAACGTTTCCATTGATGAAACAAGTTTATGTCGATGATTGCCTATCCCATAGCAGAG